ACATCCATATAGGTGAAATTTGTCAAGGATGCTCCCATAACTAAGACACCCCACTCTATGAGCTACAAATTTCATTAAGAGTATAAAACTCAGCCCTCAATTCGTTATGGGATCGATGTATCCTCACCTTAGGAATGGGACCAACAATTTTTCCGTTAAATATTGATACATCTTTCAACAACGACTTTTCTATGATTCGTTTTTCCCATTCGAAACCCAATTCTTAGAATTCGGGTTGGGTATCCTCATAGGAAGTTCTATATTATTGGGCTTAAATCCCATTCCCCTCGATGAGCACTAGACCTTAGACTATGATCATAGATTTTCCTCCAACTTTTGTTTTTGCCAAAGGCCTAGTTGGTGGTATAGTGGGTAATGAAGAGATTTAACTCATTCTTATTCTCACCTTTTCACATCAACCCACTTGCCTGCTAGCTCATAAAATTCACATTCATATTTCTCAATTTCTCAATTCATGGTACCACAATTTTTGATATCGAGCTAGTGAACCACCTTTTTCTTTCCATACATGTCAGAACATGTATTTAAGAATTTTTAGTTCAAACACCATTGTACCTTGTTGTACAATAGGAATGTCAATCACATATCCCTTTTCTCAAGTGCCTTATTTTTTTTTTTCTCATCATACACCATTATACCATAATTGTATAATAGGAATGCATATCACATTTATTTTGTTAAGCACCATTATACCTTATTGTATAATAGGAGTGCCTATCACATTTACTTTCTTAAACACCATTACACCTTATTGTATAATAGGAATGCTATGCAAAATCTCAATTAGGCATCATTGGTCTCATCACCAATAATAATATATAGGGATATCACAATCCCCCACATTGGGAGCATTTCAAATATATGATTATCACATTTATCAAATAATTGAGTTCATGAAGAAACTCATTTTGCTCACAAGATTTTTATAAGAGCATATTTGCTCATCTCACTTTTCATTGCCACAAAAGGGTCCTTGGTCACGCAAGCTTAAAGAAAAAAAAATTAGCTTACATTTCCAAAATATATCAACCCAAATATCAAGTCCATTTTTTTTTTCCAAAATTGTTGCATGGACGAAATTGGATAGCTCTCTTCTTTAGTCTTTTCACTTCGTCAAAATTTTCATAGACCATTTTCCATGGTTCCGAAAGTAAGACAACACAGCATTCACTAAAGATTTGTCAGAGGGCAAAAATAATCAACTAACAAAATATATGATTATAAAAAATATTTTACACATATTGGCATAACCAATGCACTTAATATTTTACTAGCGAGTTAAATCACATTCATGTTGAAATTTATTAGCTGCAAATACAACTCCTTAAAGATTGCATCATGGCATAATAGTTTCACATGCTAGGTAATTTTTTACTTTTTTTTTTTTTTACTATTGAAAATATCTCACAAATTAAGAGTACCACAGCAGCAAAAGGAGCACATATCTGCACGCATTAAATTCATAACAATTTCCATTTATGATATTTCAAGCCGTTGGAAATTAAACAAACCAATAATATCATTAAGCTCCAACATGTCATGATAAGAATATGTATATTCATTTGCAAGAGCAACATATGAAAGTAATCGGGTTAACACTATTTTTTTTTTTTTATTCACATGCCATTAAAATAAATAGTCTACCATTCAAGTATGTGTTAATAATCATATTAGGATCTAAGAACTCATACCTTCGGTTGACAAATTAATAGGATTTTTCTCATTGAGGACATATGCCAAATTTAACAAATTAAGATAATATAAAACTTTTCCTTTTCATCTTTTGAAATGCTCACCGTTAAAACAAAAAGGCATGTTAAGATCATTAGAGAGCTTAACAGGTTTTTTCACGAGGTAAACTCATTTTTTTTTATAAAAGAATTTTTCTTTCGAAACATCCTAAAATTGTTGTTCCTCGTAAAAAATAAATAGAAAAGAAAATATACAAAAGA